CGCCCCTGCAGTTCTGCTGAACCAGTTCTTCACCAGTTGGGGCTGGGACATCGGGACTTTGATAACCCTCCCCAGGTGATTCCTCTGAGCCCTAAGCCAGCTGACCACCCTGGAGCCTCTGCTGCCCCTGGCTAGCCGACCGCCCACTCAACCTCAGCGCAGCTGTGTGCCAAGCGTCCCTCCCTCCGCCCCATGACACTGTCACTTAGGACTGCTGTGGCCATCTGCCCCCATGGAGGGGCACGGATGGGGCTCGCGGCCCCCAGAGCCAAGAGTTGCCTGCATCAGGGTGTGGTTCAGACCCAGCAGGGGAGTCCAGCACCAGTTCCAGCCGAGGGCGGTTGGCAGATGTGGGGACGGGGTGAGGTAGCGTGGCTGGCCTGGACCCTTGGCATTTCAGATAGCCCGGCAGACGTGATGGCCACCAGTAGTGGGTAGTGTGACCCGGGGCGGGGGGCGCACACACACTCAGGCCGGCCGGCCCGTCGGAGACACACCCACACATCTGCCAAGCAGGCACACTGACCGGGAAGGGCTGTCACCCGCCTGACCTCAGAGCACCTCACAGCCGACCTGTGAAGTAAGCAAGCGGGCGTGCGGCCCCCGTCCCACCCATGAGGAGACGCGATCAGAGAGGTGAAGCGAGTCACCCACGGCCACCAGCCAGTCAGCGCCAGAGCTGGGACTCAGCCCAGGCTCCTGGCTCTGGACCCGGCGCTACTGCTCAGTACGTCCACGTCCTGGCCGTAAAACACACTGACGCTTCGGTGTTCTTTCCCAGCGCAGGATGACCTGCTCTGTATAGGTTTGTGAGCGTGAGGATTCTCTGCCTTTTAAACGGACTTTCATCCCCCTTACCGCAGGACGAGGGTTGGGGCTGATTTTCTTAGGAGGCAACCAAACAACAGAAGGTGACAATGGCCGCCTCGTGTGTCCAGTGTCATGGATTCAAAACCCGCACCTGTGAGCTTTAGCGCCACCCCCACCAGCCACAGAAGCCAGGGGTGCTTGTAAAGGGTGACAGTCCCCTGTGTGGTTTTAAACACTTCTCGCTAGTTCAGCCCATCGTCGAGCATCGTACCCGCATAGAGTGCAGCACAGGACTAATTAGTAAATGAGTATAAAATGCTTTGAAGAAGAAAAGTGCCATATAGGAGAGCACATTATTATTACCTCGTAAATCCTGTCGCCAGCTTAGCCAGCCCGTGTAATTTCAGCTGAATCTTTGGCTCAGCACAGACGAGGAGAAGGACTCCGATGTGTTGACTAATAATACCTGGGCACCTCCTGGGGGGACCTGGGCAGCCAGCGCTGAGCCCTCTCCCAGCCGCTCGGTTGCCTGAGGACCCAGCTCCACGCGCGAGAGCCGCTTTGCTCCTGGGAATGAACTGGAAAGAGCATGAACTTGAGGACAGAGACTTATATTTGAATCCGAGCTCTGCCCACTTAGTGGCTGGCGAATATTTAACAAACAGTTCTTCAGCGGTTTAAAAAAGGACAAGAAAAACAGGAGGGCCCAATTCATACTGTTGGCCGGTTTCCACGGTACCGTGGAAAATATTCCCACTGTGACCGATTTCCAGCTACCAGCGTGAGATCACTGGGTGCAGACCTGGAAAGAGCAGGGAGGGTGGTTGTGGGAGCCCCCGCTGGGGTGAGTAGACCCCAGGGCGGGTCTTCACTCAATGTCTGTCAGTTTTATTTTCCTCATCTGTAAAATGGCAGTAAATACCTGCCTCCTAGGGTTGTTGAGAATAAAATCAAAATTGTACGTAAAGCCCCAAGTAGGGTGCTTGGCACACGGGAAAGTTTGACCAATAGTGGCTATTATTACTGCGGACCAGAAAAATGATTTTCCGATGTTGACTTTGGCCTTTTTCTGAAAAGTCGGAATGCCCCTGTTAAGAAGTCTTGCCAATGAATGTGGCCTTTGGAAGAGTGACCCTTTCTGGATGACTAGGAAGACAAGCGACGAGTCACCTGGATTTTAGTGAATGAGAGATGAGAAATCTCTGTGGGAGTTCCCACCCCGCACCCCTCCCCACCCCCCCAGGCTGGGGCGGTGGGACTTCAGGCTCCGCGGAGCGCTGGAGAGCAAACGCCGCAGTGACCTGCTTGTTCACCCCGCACCTACTCTCTCAGGGAAAACTGAGCGGCACAGGTGACTTGTGCTTCTGACTCAGTTTTGGTTCCTGACGACCACAGGCTCTTGTTTTGGAGGCCCAGCCTTGGTAGAGAAATAACCACACTCGGTTTGCCTCTTGTCTGGGCCTATAAATAGCGCAGTCCCAGAACCTGCCCTAGTTCCTGGGGACTGGCCCGTCCCACGGTTCTCCTTAGCGCCAATGTTAGAAACATCACCTCGTGGTCAGATGACGTCTAGTGCTGTTCACGGCATCATCAATGCATCGGTGCTTTTTAAAATGAAAGTGGAAAGAGACCTCAGCTTTTTGTTTATGTGTCTATAGTGCTTACGTGCAGCGTCAGTAGAGTAAACGTTAGGGGGTAGACCAGATGCCAAAGAGAAACAGGTGCTGGGTGGCTGGTCAAGACAGTAGCCACCCTTATCAAGCTATAAATGACATTCCATGCTGGCTATTTTTTATACACTGTCTTTTTCAATCCTCAAAACGACTAAATGAGGTAGCTTATTATCCCCATTTTATAGATAAAGAAACTGAGCCTCAAAGAGGTTAAATAACTTACATAAGGCCCTGCTACTTTCTCTCCTTCCTTCCCTCCCTTCCTCCTCTTCTCCCTGTCTGTCCCCCTTCCTTAGGACATAAAGGCAATGAGCCCGGGACGCTCCGTTTCTTTCCACTTCCCTTATCCAGCTTCTCCAAATGGAGGGAGATTTACTGAGCATCTACTGTGTATAAGACATTCATATCCTGGTTTTTGCCATTTTCCACAGGAGAGGGGCTTGGGGTGGTTGGGTGGGGCCGAGATCAGGTGGAAGTAGGAGTCAGGCCTAGGTCTGCTGGTTCCAAGACTAGACTTCAGCACAGAGGGTTCTGCATGTCTGTGTGTGCTCAACTAAAGGATGCTCTGAAGCAGTCTGTATAGGCAGGCCTGTGTGGCTACATAAATATACATAAATACCCACTGATTTTCAGATGAGTGAGCCAGGGCCAGCCCCACAGTTGGAAAAACTCTGACTTTGTGCCATATTCTCAGGTTAAAGTCCAAAACACACTTGGTTGGAATAATGGCCTAGTATCTGGGGGAAATGAGATGAACACAGTTGTGGCAATTATTAAGGAAGATCACCAGGGTACTTCCAAAGGCACAGGATCCATGAACTGATTCCAGAGCAAATACAAAAGCACTCCAAGGGTTATTTCATAACATAAATCATGCTCTCCTTCTTCAGGGCTCCACATTTCTCCTCCATTCATCTCTGACCCCTTTGGAAGAGCCACACTTTACATGCTTGGGGTCATGATGAGTTCTGACTAATAGGAGCAATAAAAGTAACCCCACAGGCAACCCAGAAATGGACCAGAATGAGCCTCCCGGTTCTGGGCCAGCTGCCTTTGCGCCACTTTGGGAGGAGCCGCACGGCGTGTGGAAGGTGTGACAGATTCGCATTCCTCCAGAACAGAGCCCACCACCCGCGTCTTCCACGACACCAAGGAGCAGTCCCTCTACAGAAAGTCTCTTCGTTCCAGAGATTCTCTTTGGAACGTGCACTTTGAGCCCGTTTAGGGGCCAGCCAAGAAAATCCATCCCTTTCACTCCGTGATCACGCTTTGGCCGGGACTCCCCAGCTCCCGATGACCTTTGGCTGTCTGGGCAGGTGCTGATAGAGTAAGAAGCTAGGAAGGCAGCAGGCTCCCTCTAGAAATCAGGTGGTGGTGTGGGTGTTAATAGTGACGGAAGCCCTCTTGGGCACCACCTGAGATCCCAGGCCCTGTTCTGGGTCCTGTGCATCCATCGCCTTCTTGGTCCTCTGGCCCTTTCAGAGAGCTGACGGGCCACCACTGCAGAGAGCCAAAGGCAGGCGGCAGGGCTCGGAGGGCAATTCCTGGGTAGGCCAAAACTCATTTGAGCATAACAATGCCCTCAGAACAAGAGGACCACCTCCCCAGGGTACATAAGTGCAAGTAGGTTTATGGAGGGACTTTACCGTGGGCTCACTTTATAGCCCAGCTGGGGGCTGGTGTTGTGCCTGGGGACACGAGGTCTGGGGCAAGGGTGGGCCTCCCGTGGCCAGATGGCCCCGGGGGAAGGCTCCTCGGGGGCTTCTACCTTCACTCACACACACAGCCCGGCTTCAGATGACTGCGACACCCCTTATCCCCGCTCAGTGCCCACTCCTGACTGTCAAGCACAGGCCCAGGTGGGGTGAGGAGTCCCCTCCGCAGCCGGAACGTCGGCCTGCGTGGGCTGGCGGCTTGCACAACCCAGACGGCCACCTCCACTTGTCTCCCCCACCTTCCTGCGCGCACTGCACGGGCCGGCACCGCGGGCTGCCCCCTGGGGCACCTCCTCTGCTTTGCCTATTGTCACCCCAGCCCCCCAGAACCAGCAGCCCCCCGACCTTGCCCGCTCCAAGTGCCGGCAATGGCAGAACTCTCCAGACTGGAGCCCGCTTCAGGGAAACCAAGCCCTTGGCTAATTGGCTTGTTGTGGGAGATGAGGCCCGTGGGCCCTGGAGGCAGCTGGCCTGAGTCAAACGCTGCCCCCACCACTTACTAGAGGCGTGAACCTGAGCAAGCCACATGACCTCAGTTTCTTTCGCTGCAAAATGGGGCTCCTGCCTACGTCACGGGCCTGGCAGAAGGGCTTCGTGCTTTGGGACACATGAGATGCTTGGACCAGCACCGGCATGCAGTGAGTGCCCAGAAAAGTCTGCCTTAAGTCTGTCTGTCTTGCTGTTTAGATTTTGCCCACGTTAAGCCTGGCCTCTTCTTTTTTTTTTTTTTTTTTAAGATTTTATTTATTTATTTGAGACAGAGAGAATGAGAGACAGAGAGCAGGAGAGGGGGGAGGGTCAGAGGGAGAAGCAGGCTCCCTGCCGAGCAGGGAGCCCGACGCGGGACTCGATCCTGTGACTCCAGGATCATGACCTGAGCCGAAGGCAGTCGCTTAAACAACTGAGCCACCCAGGCGCCCAAGCCTGGCCTCTTCTTTAGTCCATCTTTCCCTTCCAGATCCCGGCTCTGAAGCGTCAGCTGACCACAAAAACACGTCCTTTTCTGCCCCTGACAGGCATGTAGACACCGCCCCCTCCTCCGTGTCTGCAACACTCCTACCAGCTGTCGCCCCCACCCCCGGGCTCCTCCGTGAGCCTGTGCCCAGCGGCTTGGCCTGCCGCCCCCCAGCTCCTCACTTCCGTCAAGACCCCTGCTTTCCAAAGGTTTTGTTTATTAAACGGCACTTATTAAGTAATCATTTCCCCCCTTTTAACCAATGACATGTACTGGTTTGCTAGGGATTCCAAAGAACGCCAGGGACTGGAAATTACCTCACTGGATGGGCATGTCTCCAGACAAAACTAGAACACTTTATTAGCCAGGGGTTCCTTCTCTCTGGGAAACATGCAATAAACATTAGCCTTCCTTAAAAATCTTGACTGTCGGTCATGGACCCCCTTTCGTGCCTTCTGGGCCTCCGGTTGGAAAGCCTGGGCTGAGGGCCATGGGGTGTTCACGGTTTATCTGGAGAAGCAGGATGGACGCCCGGCGTTAACCGTCCACAGCTGTGGACAGACGCGGGGCCCCCTCTCCAGTGCCCTTCTCTCCCACGTGCTCCCATGTGCGCTACCCCGGGCTTGACGGGCAGCCCGGAGAGTGAGAAGCAGGTCACCAGGGCTGGACAGGGTAGCGGCATCCAGAAGCCTTCGTGTCCCACACCCGTGGAAGGGCGGCCAGGCCTGCAGAGGCTGTAGGAGGACACCTCGGAGGTATCCTAAGCCAGAAGGCCTTGACCGAGATGGGCCTAGAGCAAACAGGACCCAGGTGAGCCCACGAGTCGGGACTCAGGTTAGGACAGACCAAACAGGTGTAGACGTGTGTGCCTGGAGGTGGGAACTGCTTCTAGGGAGAAGCAGAGATCGAATCCCTTGTATGCATTCGACAGACATCTGTGGAGCACCCCCTCTGTCCCTGGCACTGGGACTGTACAGATGATAAGACCAACCCTGCCCCCCAAGAGCCAGAAAGATAGGGCAAGTACACACTCCCACTGCTCATGGGGGTGTCGGGGGGGGGTCAGTGATAAGCCATGTGGCAGAGCAGCAGATCTGCACTACTTACTTCCAGCCCGGGTAAATCAGGGAGGGCTTCCTAGAGGAGGGGTCAGCTGGGCACAGATTCAGCTTCTTGGTTCCCAAAGTATTTCACCCCTTTGCCTCGTGGCAGTGGTTGGGCCTCCTGGTGGGTTCTCCAGCTGGGCTGAGGAGAACATGATGCCTAGTTTGCATACATTCAGTTACTTTTTTAAAAAAGATTTTATTTATGGGTGCCTGGGTGGCTCAGTCGTTAAGCGTCTGCCTGGGGTCGCAGCAGGTCCTGGGAGGGGAAGGATCCCAGGTTCCTGGGATCGAGCCCCCTTGTTATTAAACAAACAAACAAACAAACAAACAAACAAATAAAAGACTTTATTTGAGAGAGAGAGAGAGCACAAGCAGGGGGGGAGGTGTAAAGGGAGAGGAAGAAGCAGACTCCCCGCTGAGCAGGGAGCCCAACGTGGGAACCCTGGGGTCATGGCCTGAGCTGAAGGCAGACACTTAACCGACTGAGCCACCTTGGTGCCTTCATGCGTTCAGTTATTTATTGAGCATCTACTTGGTGCCAGGCACTGTTCTAGGCACTGGAGTGAATAAAGCATCAGGATGCTTGCCTGTGTGGAGCTTCCGTTCCCAGCGGGGAGAGAGAGCACGAACGAGATGCGCCCCACGCTGTGGAGCGTAAGGTACGCTGAGTGTAAGGCAGGGGGCTGGGGGTGCACTTTCACCAGGGTGCTCAGGGAAGAGCTGAAGGAGGCAAGTAAAAGGGGCAAGGCACGGTCGACCTCCTTCCCCTCCCAGGACCTGCTGCGTCCCCAGGCCCCGGGATGGGCTTGCCTTGGGCCGGCCCCCGGGGAACGCACCCAGTGGAGTGGGTCCCCGACTCCAGAGCATCCAGACGTGGCAGGCGAAGAGCAGTGAAGCAAGGAGGCCCGGCTGAGTCCCGGCCGGCCGCCCTGGGATCGCACGGGACACCCGTTCTCCCTCCTCTGTGCCATAAGGAGCCCTCTTCACGGGCTGGTGATGAGAATAAGGCAGAGAGGGCCTGGGGATGCTCTGGGAATGGCAACGTGTCACTGCCACCATTTACTGCGGAGTCCCTGTCGCTGCCAGGCAGGGCCCCGGGGCAGGTACCCTGAGGACGCGGTGGAAACACCACAAGCTGCGCAGGAAATGGGTGCTGATGCCCGTCCCGCTTACGCCCCGCAGCCCTCCGCCCGCCCCCGGAGCCGCCTGGCCCTGACCTGCGAGCGGGAGGGAGAACGGCGCTGGCCACCTTCTCCCCCCATGTGGTGCCGCAGGACCCACGGTGGGCGAGCGGGGTCCCCTGCTGAGTCCTGCCCCGGAGCTCTGCTGTCCGGATCCTGGGCCCTCCCGAGGTGGCATGAGCTGCACAGGAGCCATAACCAGCAGCGAGCTTCCAGACCCCCTGTCATTCCCGTCAAAACTGTTTCCCACCGAGAAAGAAGCAAAGAACAGAAACCACCCCCAACCCATCCTCCTAACACAACCACATTTAATGTGTGTTTAACAGCGGGCAACAAATATTTTGTACCTACTATGTGATAGGAGATGATACGCCAGCTATTCATTTTCAACATGTTCAGAAACAATATAAAACACTTTTGTATCCTGTTTGGCTTTTTAACACTCTTTCCTAAGTAGTTGCCGTCTTGCTACGGTCTTCACAACCATCTTTGGAATATCTACCTCATGTTCCTCCCTAGTTCACATACCGTCTCCCTTCTTTTTGGCCATTTGAACTATTTCATGAGTTTCCCTACTATAAATATATTTTGTGAATAATTACTTAAACCTACTCTAGGAAAGGCATTTGGGCAAGCCGAATGCAGGGCAGCCAGTCAGCGAGCCATGGGGTAAAAATGAGTATGGTGATGGGCCATTTCACGCCTCAAAAACTTCAGAGCAGTGGAAAATGGGAGAATGTTCTAGAATGATCTGGCAGGGGCAGAGGAAGCACTGAGGTAGGTGCCTTTGGTAAGACAACGAGGAGGGCGTTGGGCCTCCAGAATGAGGGGAGATGGGGCGTGAGGAGATGTGAGGGGGTCAGAGAAACGGTCAGCCCAGGAAGGCCGAGGTATCTAGCTGCTGCTGGAAGAAGAGGGAGCCCCTGCAGGCTAGTGGGCGGGGGGAGGGATAGGATCGAAGCGGCATTTCAGGAAGGCTCATCAGCGTGGTGGCTGGAGGTCAAAGGGCAGGGGCAGCCTAAGCTGGAACCTGTGACAGCATCTCAGCTCCAGGTGCGGCGGGGGAGGGCACCGGAGCCGGAGGCGGTTCTGGGAAGTTGGGAACTGGAAGAGATGGAAAATGGGAAAAGCTCTGATGACAGCCCCTCAGGCTCTGACACCAGCAGGCACACAGCAGGAGAAGCCGGGCCGCTGGTGCCCAGGCCGCAGCGGGGAGCCGCCAGGAGCCGGAGTCCTTCTGCCCTCACCTCCTGGCTTCCAGCCCTGGGAACGGAAGCAGCCTGGGCAGGTAGCATTGGGGCAGGCCTGGGTGGGGGCCCCACGGAGAGCCCTGAAACCCGCGTCCGTCCAGACGTGGGGGCGCAGGGGTAGGAGGAGCTCCGAGACCAAAGGGAAGGTGTCAGGGCCTCAGAGGATGGGGTGATGCCCTCCTCTGCCAACCTCTACCAGCCAGGGCCGATGGGAGACCCAGGGGGCTTGGCGGGAACACAGTCCAGAACCGCTCCCCCCCCCACCGTTGGGGTTATGAGCCCACATCTGGAGCCTGAAATAAAAATGCTCACTAAGCTCCACTCTGGCTGCCTGACCTTCACCTCTGTGAACCTCGGTTACTTTGTCTGTAAAATGGGATGATAATAGCACGTACTTAACAGGCTGGTTGTGCTGATTGGACGAGTAATGGACATAACATGCCTGCCATATAATAAGCAGCCGTGGATGGGAGCTGCTCTTGCGATTATTACTGTCATTAAGGAGCCCTCAGCCCACCCCATGTCTAGACCTGGCCAGCGTGGGTGGCCGCAGGGGCCTGCTTACGACCTCACTGCCGGTCAGCTCACTCACAGCCGGGGCACCAGCCCCAGCCCCTTGGCCAGGACTCCCTGCACTTCCCCTGGGAAGGGCCCGGCCTCAGTGTTGGGGTCTCTCTTCTAGAACACCTACTGTGTGCCAGGCTCTGTGCTGGGCACTGAGAAATCAGTCACCTCCAAGAGGCCTGTTCTCCAACACCCACACAGAGAATAGAGAACAACTCTGCTCCAAGGATGTTCTCAAAGACAGAGGGTCTGTGGTGGAGGTAAAAGGGGCTCTTGAGACAGATTCCAGCTAGGACATCAGAAAAAGTAACAGGGGAGAGGTGGTACTTGTCTGCCCCACGGCTTCTGACTCGGAGGAGCCAGGAAAGAGCCTCCCAGGTGGGCAGAACGGCAGGGGAGTCAGCTGAGGCCTGGCACCTGGCCCAGCGGCGGGCTGATGATGCTGACCCCCGGCTGGTGAGCGTCCTCCTCCATGCCAGCCAACCCCGGGGTCAGACCCCTGCCCACACCATCCCTTGCCCTCACATCGACCCTAAGAAGTAAAAATTGGCATCCCTATTGTACAGACAAGAAAATGGAAGCCCCAAAGAGCGACCCCCAGGCTCCTAATAGGCACTACTGGGACTAGAATTCGGGTCTGCAGCCCCCAGACTGTAGGATGCTAGGCTCCCTCTCCGAGGCCACAGGTTAGGGGTGAGTGAGGGGGACGGGGCCTGAGTGCAAGAGGAGAGGAGCCACACCCACAGGATCCAGGGCTGTTGTCCACTTTGGGAAGGGTCATGGTGTCCCCCCCAGCATGAGCTCTGAGCATCTACCTGTGACACAGGAGACCCAGGCAGTGGGTCTGGCGGGCAGCCCAGCCCTTCCTGCACTCCCCACACCCACATCCCCCCCCCCCCCCCCCCCCGCCTGCCTCTCCCCTGGCCAGCGCTCAGACCCCTGGGCCTCTGCTCCCGTCCTCTATGGGAAAGGCAGGTGGCAGACAGCCTTACCCGGGGCCATGAGCAGCTTTTACCCTGGCACTTGTCAGCGGGTCACCCAATGTCCAGGCTTCTAAGGGTCACCAAGACCACATGGTCCAAGGCTAACAGGTGGGCAAAGGGAGGCCCAGAGAGGGACAGGGATCCAGGATGAGGCTAACACCCGATCTGATTCCCAAATCACTGTTTTTTCATGGGCCTCTGACTCAGCCGCGGCAGGGACCAAGCAGGAGGGCCCATCACCATCAGGACCAGGGTAGGGGTGAGATGGGGATGAAAACCTCAGAGGCCCCATGACAGCAGAAGGGTCCTGGATCTGCAGGGCACCGTCCGGGTCAGGATCACCCTGTACAGTAAGGAAGGGGGGGATGGGGTTAAAGCGTCGCCCCAGACCCCATGTCCTCAGCAAGCCTGTGCTTAGGGCTACAGCTGCCCAGATGGGGGCACCTTTCTGCAGTTTGCTCACAGGCCCTGTGGGGACCACCTGCAGACTTGATGCAGTTCTGGAAAGGATCACTGGCCAGATGGGGTAGTGGCTGTAGCTCAGACTACTGGAGAGCCCCTCTGCCTGGGGCAGGGCAGGAGGGGGCTTGGGCACCCAGGGTGCTGGCCCTGCTCTGCCTGGCCTGGGAGCTGACATTCTGCTTTTGTTTCCAGGGGCTGGTGTGGGACCCGGAAGTGTTTCCTCGTAATTGCTCTCATTCCCGAGGGGCCCCTGGCACCTGCTTTGGGCTCCCACCTCTTCCCACCTGGTCCTTGGCCCTGGCCCATGCAGAGCCCCCCACTGGGGCTGCCCTTACCCTTGTGTGGGATTGCCGCACGTGTTCAGCCACAGTGGGCCAGGGCTCACCTCCCAGAGCTCTGGCCTGGCTCTGAGCCCCCGTGGACGGGCTAGCCTCCCCACCATGCTGTTTGTACATCATGTGCCAGCTCTGGCCCAAGCTGGTGGGGCCTTGCTGGCCTCCCTCTGCTTTTCCGGCTGTGTGACCTTGGGCAAGACCATTCACTTGTGCTGGGTCCACCCCTCTTCCTCGCAGGATGCCATGAGCTGTGGACGTGACAGGTGATTGTCTTTGGCCCGGAAGGCCTGGACACCCCCTCCATCTCCTCCTTTCTCTTGCTTCTCCTCTTGCCCTTCCCCTCCCTCCTCCACCGTGAGGCTCAGAGCTGCCCTCGACACCTGACAGTGACCAGTGACCGAAGGCTGGGGAATGAAGCTTTGTGTTTGGTGTCTCCTTTCTTCCAGGGGCTCAAAGCACTTTTATAAGCATTAATCTCCTTTATCCACCCCTGCTGTTGTCTTGTTTGCTCTTTATATTTTATTATTAGCTGAGGTGTTGTGTTTAACCCTCGGGCACCCAGAGAGGGGGACTTCCCCAGCCAGAGGTGGAGCAGACAGAGGAGGCCTCCCCCACCAGCGTGGCTGGGACCTGGAGGCCGGCTCCCACCCGGGCTGGGGCCCAGCTTTTGCCGGCACCTGCCTTTGGCCGGGAATTTTCCCCCAGCACCCACAACAGCCAGCCGGGGAGGTGTCCCTGGAAGGCCACTGATAGCTGTGAGGTGGGGACCCAGAGGCAGTGAGGTGTGGCCCAGAGAACACTAAACACAGAGGCAGGAAATCTGGGCTCTGCCCACTGCTGCCGTGTGACCTTGGGCCAGTCACTCTGCCTCCAAGCCTGGTTTTATTGAGACACGAGACGGGGAATGAGACTCCCATGAATATCAGATCAGGGTCTGTGGCGTGGATCTGTAGGTGCTGAGGTTCTATGCAAATGTCCAGGGCAGCGCTCCTGCCCACAGGACAGGGGCAGGGTGACCCCATGGGGATGTCAGCCCAGGATTCTCACCTGGATTCTGAGATGAAAGGAATTTATTCCCCCTCCCCACACAAGAGCCTGTGTCCCTTGGCCCACGTGGCCAAAACTGGGAGAGGGGAGGGGCAGATGGGCTCACAAATCAGCGTCCGGTGCCTCCAGATAGACCGCCTGACCTGAGGTGTTCCTTCTGCTGTTGCTGAATGCCCTGGGCAGCTTATGTTACCCATGAGCTCTCAGACCCAGGCAGGCCTTTAGAGCACATCCAGATGGGGTCGGGGGGAGGTCGACCCTGCGGCGGCCCATCAGCTGCAGGGCCACCCGGCCAGGCTGGTGCTTGCTGGTGTTCCCTGCCCAGAGGAAGAGATGCCTTTTCTGCGTGCAGAGTTGCTCTCTCTTTGCCAAGCCTTATCTCTGGGTGCTGAGCCTGCAAGGAGGCATGCCTTACTCGAATTTGTGCAAAGGTGCCAGGTGCCTAGTGGAGGCCCTGCCTGCCTGGAACGCTTTCCAGGGCAGGTGGTAATGAGCAGCCCGGCTGGGCAGGAGGAGAGCAGTGCCCAGCCACCCCCCCTCCCCTGCCGCCCCCACAGTGGGCTGGCCTTGGTATCAGAGCTGCCCCAGGGCAAGGGGACACATTTCTGCACTTCCTCCTCGACAAATCCTGGTCATCACAATACAGGTCCCCCAATTCCTTGTCCCCGATCCCAAACTCCCCAAAGGACTAAAAACCCCCAGTTTTTAAAATAACTTATTTGGCAGCAAAACCTGGCCCCATCAAACATCAGGCTA